GCGAATTCTGACTTTAATCCACACATGGCGATCTGTGCTATACAAATTCATGTTTACTGCAAGGTTCAGGAGGTGGGCCATCTGCCAAAGTTGGGGTGGTGCTCGGGCAGCCCTGATTTGTCAAGGTCAATATGGTGAATAGTAATAGTAATAGCAAGAGTAATCATAAAAGATAATAGTAATAGCAATAGCAATAATAATAGTAGTAAACATGTACCATCGAGGTGACACCCTGCGGTTTCACTTTGCAACTACGTCGAGCAACGTCTTGTAGAGATTGTCATGCTGCAGAACCTCGCCGCGGCCCTTTGGCGCGCGAAAAAGGGAAAAATGCCGTCTAGAAGTAAAATGCCGTCTAGAAGTAGACATACAAGAATGGCAAACCATCCCAACCACATGGATTCTTGTCCTCCTGGGACCCCCCAACCGTCGCCCTTACTTTCTGCAAACCCCAGATCGTTTAGGTTTAGGGTTCAGGCTTTAGGGTTCAGGGTTTAGGGTTTAGGGTTTAGGGTTTGGGGTTTAGGGTTTAGGGTTTAGGGTTTAAACCCCCATACTCAAACCTCCATACTGCGTAGGAATATAGGAGAAGTACTGCAGAAACGCTGTAGCAGTAGTGTAGGAATACTGTAGGAATATTGTAGGAACCAGAGAAATATTACAATACTACAGGGATGCTCTAGGAATAATATCGGGGAATGTACGGATTCCGGGGCCGCTGAGGCTCCGTGTTGGTAAGCACGTGTTGCTTCAGTACCCCAAACGACCAAACTGTTTGGATCCCTGTTGCAATGCCTATCAAGAGAAAGAATTTTGTCACCCCATTTGGAGAACCGTTCGGGTTTTCTCCTTGTTTCTCCTCTTTTGTAGATCCCAAAATGAAACCCTAAACCCTACACCCTAATCCCATATCAGTGGGATTATACAGGGACCTTGGTTTCAAGAAACACCTCTTTGGTGTGATGATGTGAGGAACCCCAAGCCACCATCCAATCTCAACAGTTCGACTTGCGCACGAAGCTATAGTCCCCCTTAAGTAGATAGAATATAGGGTTTAGGGTTTAGGGCCGCTCAAGTAGATAGAATATGGCTTTGAGTATGTTCTAATAAGATCCCCATATACCCCATATTCTATCTACTTACGGGGGACTATAAGCCAAAATCACCATCATTGTAAGCAAAACTCTATAAACCCTCACCGTAAACCCTAAACTCCACACCCCAAACCCCTAAACCCTAAAACCCTAACCCCTAACATCCTGATGGGACAGGCTTGGCCTTGATGTGTGCCAGGGCAACCCCAAACCCCAAAACCCTAAACTCGAAAACCAAAAACCTGAGTCCTACACTCCAAACCCTAAACTCCAAAACCCCAAACCCTTAAACCCTAAACCCTAAATACCCTAAACCCTAAACTCCAAAACCCTGCGCTTTAGTGTTGCCTGCATGACGAAGGCTGCGGGACAGGCTCGGCCTATCGTCAGCCTTGCAAGGAGCCAGGGTCATCTGAGTAGCGTTTTTTTGGTGGTTGAACCGAGTAAGATTATACTCCTTATATAAAATACTACAACCAAAAGGAGGATAGAATCTTACTGTGTATTGGGTACCATAGTATCCCAAAAAAATACTACTCATCTCATTTTAGGTATGCACATTGCCTAACACTACGTAGTATCGTCAAAAATAGGAGCCACTTGGAGGGTCATGGGGGCTTAGTAAATGGGTTAATCTTGGGGATAATTGAGATTATCATATGGCTTATAGGTTGGGTACTGCGCCGCCTTCAGTAACAGTTGGATAATAATTATAACATGGTTATATATAGCCCTTAATAGGACCCCTAATATAGACTGTTACAGGGGGGGGCAGTACCCAACTTATAGGGAATATTAACCTACTTACTAAGTCCCCAGGACCCTCCAAGTACAAGAGGCTGCAGGCTGCGGGGTGTTACCTGGCCATAACTTTGTTTTTTCTAGACCTTATTTGCTCAGGTGGTCAACACATCATAGGGTTTAGGGTTTAGGATGCAAGTCGACCCTAAACGCTAAACCCTAAACCCTACCCAGAATTTCAACAATGGTTTTTTCGCTACACGAAAACCGGCTTCTCCTTCTAACCGCGCTCGAGGGGTCTTTAATGATTCCTTCAGAATAGGAATGCGTTCTTCTTGTGGAGAAGGAAACAACAACATACTCTATATGGGACTATAGTACCCCCATTAAACATATATCACGTGAATAAAGTGGGCCAATCTTGCAGACAGTTTCATGAAGCTGCAAAAATGCTTGTCGAGAGCACAAAATTGTGAGAGTTAAGTATCCTCCATTCACTTCAGAAGTTCTGGTTTGTGGGTTGGATAAGGTTCAGGGGATGAAGGAGCTGTGCTTAATGTGCCGTAATAGTAGTAAGCAGCAGTAGCAGAAACACTTGTGGTAGCTGTGGCAGTACCACTACTGGCAACTTTACAAGTCCTCTTCCTAAATCTTCTACTACTCTTGCTACTACTACTGACACGACGACTGCGTTCTCGCCATTGTCGCTGACGGCGTCGCCTTTACCAATGCCTTCATCCTCGGCGTCCTCCTCCTCCCCCCCATATATCCCATGTTCTATATACCCTATATAAATAGTAGTTTCCATTTTCTTCTCCATTATCCCTATGTAACCCCAACAATATCCCCTCCTCCTGCTGCTGTCCCTCCTCGTCTTCGTGGTCAGGCGGCAGTGGCGACGGCGGTGCTGATGCTCTTCAGGTTTTCATTGTTACTGCAATTATCACCATGGGTTGTCACTGATTGTATTCTTGCAGCTCTTACCCTAAACCCTAAACCCTAAACCCTTTATTCTTTCATATTCTTACTATGAGCTGCCTTATTCAGTGCCTTTAAGCCTGAAAAGCTGAGGTGCTGGCGGCTCGTGGGATTCTTGCAGATGCCCCACTCCAAGCTGCCCCTTGCTGTTGTCACCCCAAGACAGCAGCCTTGGTGGTTTTAACACAGAGTTCATAATTATAGTAGGGTTATATTGGGGTTATATAAGGATAATGGACAAGAAAATGGAAACTACTACATAAGCATTGGTGGCCTTAGGGTTCAGTTTTTTGAGGATGGCATTCTTGATGATCAAGGCTTCTTTCTTTAAGAGATGTTGGGGATACATCCAGCCGGGCTCAAATGGACACATGTCGCCAAGCGGGGTCCGTTCTGCAGGGAGGTTCCGCATTCCAAAGGACCCCATTGTTGTCAGAAGCTTCATAGTTTTGCAGACTTTGCACATCACCCATGTGAGCTCTAGTCTTCCTAGTATCCCCATTCATACCCCTTTCATACTCCCCAATATAATCCCCTATATAACCCCTATAAGGAGTTTAGACCCTAAACCCTAAACCCTATATAACCCTATCAATCCCTATATAACCCCCTTTAAGGAGTCCAGACCCTAAACCTTAAATCCTATACAACTCTATAATCCTCGAGATAACCCCCCCTTTTAGACCCTAAAACCTAAACAGTAAACCCTATATAACCCTATAATCCCATATTTTTTATATTTTTGGGAACCCTAAACCCCAAACCCTAAACCCTATGTAATCCCTCATATAACCCCCTTTTTAACCCCTTTAAGGAGGTTGCACAAACCCTAAACGCTAAACCCTACACCCCAGTTTAGGCTATAGCCCATTGGTCTTGGGATCCCGACTTCCCTGCAGCCGAGCACAGGAGCACAAAGGCTGCGCCAGCTGCAATGTCGATCCTCGAACTTGCAACGCCAGGTCACTGCTGTTTAGGGGTTCAGGGTTTAGGGGTTCAGGGTTTAGTAGGGTTTAGGGGTTTAGGGTTTAGTGGTTTAGGGGTTCAGGGGTTTAGGGGTTCAGGGGTTCAGGGGTTTAGGGTTTAGGGTACCAGGTGGGACCCCAAACAAGGAAATTTTCAGACACCCCTCGCGCAGCCTAAACCCTAAACCCCTAAATCCTGGACCCCTGAACCCTAAAAACCCTAAACCCCTAAAACCCTAAACCCCAAACCCACGGAAAAGAACACCACGAGTCGCCCACGTACCCTCGGCCAGGGTTTCTATACGACGAGGTCGCAGCCTCAGAATGAAGACGGATAGTTGAGAGACATTGTGGAGAGATTGGGTTCAGGGTACCATTCGGGGAATGTTTGGGTTATACTGAAGGTTTGATATATATATATATGTATATATATATAGGGATAATGGAAAAGAAAATGGAAGCTACTATTTGGGGTTTCGGGTTTAGAGATTAGGGTTCAGGGTTTGGGGTGGAGGGCTGAGAATGTACGGTTCTACGTTTAGGATTCAGGGTCCAGGCTTTGAGGCCCTAATCGGAAAGACCCATGGTTTGAGACATGTCCGTGCTAGTACGAATCACTATTAGTAGGATTATTCTTAGGATTACTATTGTTCAGCAATTGGGGGAAACTATTTTTCCCCCAATCTATTTTCATTTGTCTTAGGATTACCATTATTACTACCATTACTATCCTTACCTTGAATAGTCTTATTAGTGTCAGAAAGTTATGCTCTCTAGCCCCTACAACTCCAACCCGACACCCCCGAGTACCAACCGTACATCTTGAACTCAGGGGATTCCAGGCATTCCGGAGATCTTGGAGTTGAAAGTCGCTTTTGAGGATACTCCAGGGCTATGCTTCACAAACCCCCAAAACCCATAAACCCCTTAGGCTTGCTTAACCCTAAAACCTCAACCCTACTCCTTCCTAATCTAAACCAGAAGCTCTAAACCCGCGAACCCAGAGCTAGACCTACTGACTGCCTCAACCTCAATCCCAAAACCCAACCCTAAGGGTCCAAGTACCCAATAATCATATTCTTCCCCAAAACCTTACTAAAATTACTATTACCCAAATCCCAAATACCTAAATATTGGGTACTTGGACCCTTAGGGTAACCAACCCTAAACCCTAAACCCTAAACCCTAACCAGATCTACTCACCGCTAGCTCAGGTGCCGGCTGCGCTCGAAACTTTGTCCGGAATCCCAGTCGGCCACTTGCACTGACTCCGAAGGTGAAGACCTGCACTTCGGAATCACAGGATAGGGTTTAGGGTTTAGATTTTGGGATTTAGGGTTTAGGGTTTAGGGTGTAGAGCGTAGAATTCAGGGATCTGAGGATTGTGTTTTCTAATGGCTGAAACAAGAACTAGTGTATTCTTCTTGTAAAGCTGCAGGGACCCTTCAGGTGGATATTCCAGACTTTTCATCCCACTTATAGCAGCATGATACGGTGTGTAGTCGCAGCACGAAAGAAATAAATGTTTCGACCTCCATTCCAATTGGAGTGGACTGAAGAAGCCAATTCACGATCCATTCCCAAGCGACTAGCTTGTAAAGTGAAGGCGACGTACATCGGAACGCCAGCAATGCTATTCAAAGGTGCCTCCCCCTCGGTGCTCATGACGACACTGAAGCCTCCTCCACAACTAGCCTTCGCTATCTTCGGCCTGCAGGTGCAGTCATGCTTTCATGCCTCCCTAGATAACCCTCCTATATAACCCCAATATACTATAGTAGTTTCCATCTGGTCCATCTTTGATAAAACTGCAGCCAGCTGCGAACTTGCAAGCTTCCCGCCTGAGAAACTGCAAGCCCAGGTTCTTGTTCGACTGTCTTTGTCGATAGCGCAGGTGGGAGTGCTTTCCCCAGCCTGCAGCTTGCAGTTGCAAGTACTTACCAATCAGCCACCAAATCCAAGTGAGTAGTGCTTTTTTTGTGGTTTAACCTATCCCTAAATAAAATACTACTCAAGTAGGGTCGGACAGTCGCTTGGAGTCAGTATCAACACTTCCGAGCATCCGGCCCAGTGGTTCCTCATGTTTCCTCATGCGCCCACTGCCACCCTCGCCTGCACCAGCAATATAAGGATCCAAAAAATGGAACCCCCCCAATATGAATCCATTACTACATTGGGGAAACTAAGGAATTATTAGGGGGTTCCATTTTTTGGATCCTTTAGGGGGTCTGGTAATATTACAGCAGGAAACAGGGCTCTCTGCTGCTGGAACCAGCCTGCCCCCGTGCCGAGAAACTTGGTAACCAAAGTCGGCGTGCTAACCTTTCTGGAGGCCGGGTCGTTGCAAGAACTGCTTCCAGAGATCTTGCTTGACATACCTGTTTTCCTCAATTGAGTAGTGTTTTTTGGTGGTTGAACCTTATAAGATAATATTCCTTATATAAGATACTATGCCCCAAAAGGAGGATATAATCTTAGTCTAGAATGGGTACCATAGTATCCCCAAACAAAATACTACTCAATTCAGGAAGGTCAATAACTAGCTGCTGCTGCCAGGTTGCATTGGCAGTACTGCCGAGTCCACAGGCAGGGCCATAGCCCCAGCCTTATCCGGCTGAAGGAATCACGCACGGTTCATCAACTATGCTTAAACGTATATGTATATATATATATATGTGCGTGTATGTGTATATATATATATACATATACATATACGTGTTCGTTGTGTTTGGGCAATCGTCCAACGTATTTGCATGGCTGCACCATTGCACTGGGCATCGCGGCTATACAAGCGGCCGTTTCTGGAAACGGCCAGTGTGTGGGCACCAAGCATGTCACTGCCCACTGCCACCTTGGAATAGCTAGAGGCCAGTCCGCTTGTCAAGCAGACACGGTAAAATTGCTGCAGCACCCGGCCTGAACAACGTTAACCCTAGACGGAAAAGACCGGAGGAGGTGCGGGACGAAGTCGCTGGTACTGCGGCCAATTCCTGCGAACTGCAAACCTTGTCTGCAGACTTCGTTCTTTCTGAAAAGGAAGTACCAATACTTTTAAGAAGCTTCCGCATTCAGCAGTTACTTCTCCTTTGGAATGGAGCGGATCCCGGGGGCGTCGGTCACCTGCGCAAGATGTGGTCACCGAAGCATATGGATCATTCTCCAAACAAGAGCCTGTCAGGGTCTCGACATATGTGGAAGGTGTTATTCAGGGGTAGCATGTAGGATGTTGTGGCCATTTCTGTAGGATTACTGGATTGGGTGCCAACACTATGGGCCCCTTTGGTAGCACGTGACCACTTCGTCCTTTGGGGTATGATAATGGGACCTTAGCTTTGAGACCAGCCACACATCCCTCTAAAGCACTTGTTCTCACGGTATAAAAGGTATCTCTTGGGTCATTCCCCCACCCAGTAACTGTCCTTAAAGGGGGCCTTATTAAGGGGCTATTATAAGTCCTATTACCCCTTGTGGTAACTGTTACTGTAAGGGGGAATGACCCAAGGTATCTGGCAGTAGAAACGTGTAGCCTAATCTTGGCAAATCATCCACGCATGCAGCCTCTGCGTGTGCGAGGAATGGCCTGCGGGATCATTGCTGGCAGAACTGTTAATAGTAATAGTAATAACAGTAATAATAATAGTAATAATAGTCATAATAATAATAATAGTAGTAAGTAATTATAATGGTAATAATAATAATAATGGGAATAGGAATATTAATAATAGGAATAAGAATTGAGAGACAAGCTCAGCTCATTGATAAAAGTTGCCTTCAGTCCCACTGATGCGATCTCGTCTTTTTCCTCCTCACTGTCGAGTTCGCCAAGCCTTGCTTTTGTGAGAACAGAACATTGAAGCCTACGTCATTGCAGCTTTGATTCTCAAGATGTGATTTTCCAAAATTAGGATTCCCTTTCGGGGAGGCCCGTGCCATATTCGGACTTTAATACGGGAACCACCACTTGGAGGGGTCAGGAAGACTTAGTAAGTAGGTTAATTAGCCCTATATCCCATGTAGTAAGCCCATTTATCCCGTTATTAACCTAATTACGAAGTCCCCCTGACCCTAAACCCTAAACCCTAAATAATACAATAGTTTCCATTTCCTTTTCCATTATCATTAAGTCCCCCTGACCCCCAAGCAAGCAATGCTGCATCCCCCTTGGTAACCCCTATAGTAGTCCCCTATATAATCCCCCTGAAGGAGTTTAGACTATAGCACATATGGGATCAACCCCAAACGCCCCAACCCTAATCTTGGTCGTCAGCGAGTTGTCTGGTGCTGCAGCTCCGTCTGAGACGTCGCTGCCACTTGCAGCTGTGCCAAGACCTAATTGGAGGCCCATGAAACTTAGTAACTACTTTTAAGTGGGGTAACCCCCATAAGACTAGTTAGGGGGATTATAGGTAGGGTTATAAGCCCAGGTATAAATAATAGTTACAAAGTCCCATGGGCCTCCAAGTAAGAGGTATTGGGGAGTTCCCCTTAGAAGTGGTTGTGGGATTTCGGGTTTGGGGATTAGGGCTTTCGAGTTTATGAGGTTTGGGGTTTGGTGTTTAGGGATGCTCAAAAAAGAGGGCCTGTAATGGCCCCGAAAATGTGGAGATGTACAGGCAATGATGCTGAGGGTGATCAAGAATTGCATGGGAATGTGGAGAAACTCCCCTCCTGTTCAGGGTGCGCAGCAAGTGCCCTATCATGCATTGTGGGGATCCTGAATCCTTTTTCAGGGCAGACCTACAGTTCGGGCGTAGAATGTGAGGTGCCCTAATTCTGAGAAACCCGCATCTCAGAGGGATCCTTTCACTTCCCAAAGCCAGCAACATATGAGGTTTCCAATTTGTCAAGTGTTCTTTTCAGGGGGGCCACAATGCGACATTGCAGTCTAGTATCTTGCGATACAAAAGAGGCCCCCTGAGTTAGAAAATGCCCAGACTGAATTGCAGCCTGAATGACTTGTGCTGGATAGCGGCCGAGATTTGAGGCATGGACATTTGGAGATCTTTGATCCAAAGGTGGCCACGTCCCCGGTTGACGTAACAACGGCGGAATGGTACCTGGCACTGCAATTATCCCAAAATCCCTAAACCCGAAATAGTAGTTTTCATTTCATTTTCCATTATCCCATTATTATAACCCTATTATAACCCTAGCATTACCCCACATCTGCTGCCATTTACATCTTCCTTTTGGCTGTCAACGCAGAAGAAAGCTCGTTGGTTTTGGTTTCCAATGTTGTGTTTCGTTGATGGAAAAGAAAACCTGCCAAAGGATACCGGAAAATAGTAGATAACATAAGGATAAGTAGTTTCCATGTATTTGCCATGGATGGAAAACAAAACGGAAAGTTGACTGTGGTATAAGAAGTTTCGTTCTTGTCTACAAATGGAGAAGATAGAAGCTACTGCATTAGATAACCCTTTCAACAAACCGGTAACTACTGCATTCTGCACTGGTTCCTACTACTCGTCACTCGTCAACCACGCTTCTGCATTGACAGCATCCAAGAAATCCCGTCCCAAGGGGTTTAGGGTGTAGGGCTTAAGGTTTTTTTTTACAGCTCCTTTTTCCGTCTCGCAAGCGTTCCGGAAGGCAACTAGTTTGCAGGAGCAACGTAGGAGGTCAAAAAACGACCACTGGCTTCACCATGACCAAGCTGCCAGGCAAGCACAGCCGACCCTCTTACGAAGTCAGCCAGACTCACCAAAACCCTAATCCCCAGGAAGGAGACCAGACCCTTTTTTCAGGTCACCATGAACAGGCCACAGACTACCCCTCATTGGGTTTCACGGACAACCCAGCATCAGCCGCCGCGCCAGCGTCCACAGAAGACACAGTTGCCAGCGGTCCCACCGAAGCCACCACAGAAGACACAGCTGCCACCGGTCCCACCGAAGTCACCGAAGCCACCATGTCCACAGCAGCCATGGTAAGGTCCCCTTCAATCTCATGCGGGGCAACAACGGCGGCACTCAACAGGGCCCCACCATCGACTTCAGTGTGGACGTCCATGTCTCCATTATTCTCGGAGCCACCACTGCGCGTACCATCCACTTGCTGAGCCCCTTCAGATCCCTCACCATCCATGTTCCCATCCACGCGCAGGGGCTCAGGTCGCACAAGGTTGTCCAGCACCGGCGACGGCTCCACAGGAAGACTTCCAGGCACCATGTCATTCTCAACGTTTGGCAGGACACCATCACCCTCAGCTGCTCCACCCACATCCCTCTGGATCTCCATCGCGCCATCCTGCTCCGGCTCATCCATCACTGTGTCCCTTTCCCCAGGAACAACAGCTCCCTCCACGAGCGATCGTCGCACAAGGAGGAGCGCAGTGCTTGGAGTTTGGCAGCTCTGTCAGGGAACCCACTCACGTCGCCCACAACCTTGAGGACCTCCTCAAAGAAGGTGCAGTTAAAGGGGAGCTGGGCGTCGGCGAGCTCACAGGGGCCATCAAAGTCCTTTCTCTGTTCATGGGGAAGCCAAGCCAAATCTAAAAGCTATCCGAGTTCACAAGGAGGAGCTGTTACGCCATCATCACGAGGGCGACTGCCACCCACATCCAAAATTCCAAGGTCCATGAAGTTGTCGTACACTGTCCCCTTGGGGGAGGAAGGTTCGGTAGAAGCAGCCCACGCCCAGGTGGCCAGGCTCCAAAAGAACCACAGCTCAAGTCTCGCAGGCACCATGATGGGCGCGGCACGGGCAAACAGGGCCTACAAATCAGAGCTCGATCTCGTCACATAGAGGCACCATTTGCGTCGACCGCTCATGGAAAGCCAGACTTCACTGTTCAACCGCATACTGTCTGCAGCTGCTCCAAGAAACGGACATGTTGCGCATCCAGCTTGCTTTCTTATCCCTCCACACATCTCGTCTGCAAGCAACTTCTCTCCACTCGGTGCTTCCTGCTGCTCGTGAGAGCAGGCGTTCAGAGTTCATCAACGCCGGGAAATGTCTGGGATGTTGGGCTCCCCCCCACCTAGATTGCTCAGCAGTCCACCAGGACAACGTTCGGTGCCATGTCAGATTTGAAGTAACCGACCGCCCCTGCTGTTGTCGTGCACGGTGACCTGAATAACCCCAGTGAAGTTCAAGGGCAATGTCGCCCCAACGCTTTTTGAGGTGACGCCACACCATCAGTCTCGAAAGCCTGATTGTGCGAAGTTCGTATTCTATCCAGGCCTCTGAGGACGTCGCCGCAGCCCCATCATAGTGCGCACACATCGAAATTGAAAGTGGTTGATGCACTGTTGAATTTTCGGAGCAGGGCAGAGAATCCCCAAGACCCATTTGATGGCCCCTAACACCGTTTTGTCAAGAAGTTGAAGCCTCCAAGGTAAGGATGCCTTGGACGAAAGCACAGGCAGCAAGGAGTAGAATTTGGACCTTGCCTTGTCCAAAAGGAAAACAGCAAGGTCCATGTCTGAGATGGCAGGGTGAACTGGTAAATGCATGACATACAAGGGCTCATCCCTGGGCAGGGGGACAAGTGGAACACCATCGAGAACCAGCTCCGGGTCAGCAATGCCCCCGAGCAACATCATTTGACACTTCGTAGGTTGAAGCGTGAGACCGAAGGCTCCAAGACGCGGCAACAACGCACGAAAGAAGATATTAAGGGCCGCAGCATCAGGAAACCATCCAAGGACATCGTCCATAAAAGCCGCAGTGGAGTCTCCCAAGTCATCAAACAGCGTGTCACCCTGCAGTCCTCGAACCTCAACCAAGATGTCATCCATGAGGCGACTGAACAAACTTGGACTCTCCGTACTACCTTGCTTCACGCCGACCCCCGAGCTGATATCCACCTGGTCACTCCATGGCAAGATCACTTGAAGGTGATTCGTGGCTAGCATGGCAATGAAGCAGGCTGCTTCCTGAGGGAAGGCAGAACCCATCCACTCCTCAAGTTTGGATGCCAGCGCACGACGGTCCACACTGTCAAATGCCCTGCGAAGGTCGAGCTTGACGATGACAGCCTGTTTTCCCCACTCTCTGCATAACGAACAGACGTGTCTCGCAACCCACACCATGTCACATCCTTGCCGGCCTTTAGACGCAAGCTGGCTAGGACCAGCCGCTTCAAGGCATCGCCCAGTTCTTGCCAACAAGATCCGCGCAAAGGTTTTTCCAATATGTGATGAAAGGGCGATGGGCCGCAACTGTGACGGCACAACAGGACAGTGTTGCTTAGGCAGCAAGGACAGCACACTTTTACCCCAGTCGTCCGGAATAGAAGCCGAGAGATACACCCCAAGGAAAAACGCCGTCAGCTTCTGCAGACCCTGAGGCACGTCTAACAACGTCACAAGGAATTCGACAGGCACCATATCCGGACCAACACTTTTGCCTCTGCGTCCAGACATCACCGCTGCCCGCACTTCCCTCTCTGTGATGGGGACCCCACCCGATTGGGCAAGGGCATCAACTCTGGATGCAAGGTCTTGATCAAGTCCTGCCTGGGCGTCATTGGCGAAAACTCCAGTAAAATGCTGCCGAATGTCTTCTGTCGGGTCTGCCGCCGGAGTGTCTGCAAAATAGCTATCACCCCAGCTCTTCTTTGGTTTGACCACCTGCCTGTAAACTTCCCAATTGGTTAATGCCTCCTGTAATCTGACTTCTTGCCATCTTTGTCGGTTTAGGGTTTAGGGTTAAGGGTTCAGGGTTTAGGTACAGTCTTCTCTTCGCGTGCTACTTCTTGCTGATTGCGGCGGGTTACTGTGGTGGGGGCCTGTCGAGACGGTGGCAACTAGGTCTTCAAATTTCTGTCTTGGGGTGCGGTGGTAAGTAAGAATGAAGAAACAATATATACTTGGGGGGTCAGGGGATAATCGGGATAAATGGGCTCACTATAGGGGTTACGGGGGTTATTAACCTACTTACTACGTCTCCCTCGCCCTCCAAGTACGGACCCTTTTCAAGAATTCTCTAGGGACAACTCCAGGGATCCAGTCCTGCATTCTCTGCTAACCACCAGAACCCAAAACCCTAGGCCCGAAATGACGCAGTACTTCCATCGTCCATCCTGAAACACAAAACCCTTTAGTCCCCTTAAGTAGATAGAATATGGCTTTGAGTAAATTATAACAAGATCCCCAGATACCCCATATGCTATCTACTTAAGGGGGACTATACCCTAAACCCTAAACCCTAAATAGTAGAATCCATTTTTTTCCATTATCCCAATATCACCCCCATATTCTATTCTACTTCAGGGGGACTATAGACCAACCCCAACCAGGAGCAAAACTCCCCTGTTCCAACCCCCCTGGAGCACCAGCTGCAGGCAGACCCAACCACTTCGTAGCCTGCCGGCATCTCTAGGACTCACATGGGTTTAGGATTTAGGGTTTAAGGTTTAGGGTTTAGGGTTTGAGGTTTAGGGTTTAAGGTTTGGGGTTTAGGGTGTAGGGCTTGGAGTTTAGGGTCAAGGGGCTCCTCGAATGGATGGAGATTCTCTTCGGGTCCATTGATATCTGAAAGTTTCCAGAAATGGGGGACCCAAGAAATAGAAGCCAGTAAAATATAATCCTGATAGAAAAGAGGGCTCCCAAAAAGAGAGCCCCTTACTTTTGGAAATCCCCATGCAGGCATTTTCTAGGATGCCTTCAAGGAGTAGAGGCAGAAAGTTTAAGTGAGAAACTCCAGCATGTCATAGCTGGCAGTTTGGAGTTATGCATGCATGCATGCATGCATGCATGCATGCATGCATGCAACTTATCTTGCATACTGGGGTTATATTGGGATAATGGAAAATAAAATGCAAACTACTATAGTATGTTCAGGCTATATTGGGATAATGGAAAAGAAAACAGAAGGATTTCGCATATTTTTGTAGTGAAGGGGCAGGGCGGCTGCAATCGAGTCTTGCGCAACCATGATTCGGATCAGGTCACTCTGGCATCTCAGATAAACCCTGTGGGCTACACTTTGGATGGTGAGGAAGTGGGAGCAGAGTCTTCCGCTTGCCAAACTTTGCTCGCTTTTCAGCTGAGACATAACCACTCAATAGTAGTTTCCATTTTATTTTCCAATATAATCCCTTTATAACCCCAATATATACCCCAGTATATACCCTAACCCTAAACCCTAAACCCCAATATATACCCTGTAATACCATATGATGAGGCCCATGCCACAGCCTAGAAGGTTAGATTTTAGGGTCTAGGGTTTAGGGTTTAGGGTAGATGCATCTGAAAGTTACGACAGGTCCATAAGCCCAAGCCCCGAACAAGGCCCAAATAAGTCCAAAGTCCTTAAACCACCGCCTTGCTTGAACCTTGTTTTGGGGCTCGTTTGGGGCCCTAACCCTAAACCCTAAACACGCACCCTATGAATCTGTCATGCCCCCCCATCCATGGCCACAACCATACCTTGAACACACGAAGTCCCAAACCTTGAAGTCGTGCACCCTTTAGTCCCGAAACCCTACATTCAGAAATCCCTAAACTCGTAAGTCCCTGAACGCTGAAGCCCCTAAACCCTTAGACAAGCCCCTTAAACCCTTAGTCCCCTTTAACCCCAAATTCTCAAGACCCTGAACCCGAAACCCTGAAGCCCCTAAACCCCAAAGCCACCCCTTCAATACAATTCTGCGGCGGACCGTTAAGCACTCCGCTGACCAGCTGCGGCCGCGCAGCATCCTTGAAGAAACATTCCCAGACCCCCTAGAGGATCCAAAAATGGAACCCCCTGATAATCCCCTAGTTTCCCCAATGTGGTAGTGGATTCATATTGGGTAGGGTCCATTTTTTGGATCCTTCAGGGGGTCCGGGTTCAAGGAGACACTGAGAAGAAACAGAATAAAAAGAACTACTCTAGCAATGGCGATTACAACATACAACAACAGTAAGAATATTGAATCACCGTCAGCGCTTGAAAACAATGCCCGTAAATGACAACGAAAGGGGTTGTACCACCGGCTTCTACAAGGCCACCTCCACGATTATTCTCTGTATAATTATACTATTATCATTATTATTGCTCCTATTGTTATTATTGCTATTGTTACTACTCTTGTTGTGATTATGATTACTCCTACTGTTGCTATTACTATTGTTACTATCCTTCTTGTTATTATACTCATTATACATCAGCCACTGCTCAGGTTCCCACGGCTCCACTACCGAGTCCCAACCGGCCATAGTTGCCGCTGCCCCAGGAATACACCTTCGGAATCTTCCGGAATTGTTGTTGAGGTTTAACTGGGGTTCTTGGGTCCGGGGCTTTTTACTGTTTTTGACGAGTTTAGGGTGTAGGATTTGTAGGGTTTGAGGTTTGGGATTGGGTTGTTCAGA